TTTCTTTGTAAAAACTTCAATTGAATTTCAATAAAGTTAAAGACATGGCCTCACCGTTAATATTTAAAAAAAAAAAATAAATAAATAATTTATATGTCTTATAAATTTTAAATAATTGATTATTAGTTTTTTATAAGTTTATTATGTTTAATTTCTAGATTTCTTAAAATAATTTTTTAACTTTTATCACTTAAAAATCCAAAGAAAATATGTACAATTCTTTCTAAAATCTGTTTGATTTTTTCATTTTTATTTACTTATAATACTAAATAAAAGTTTGCAAAACAATCTTGTCACATTCTTTGAATAGTATAATAAACAATAATACTGGTTATGCCTTGAAAAACATTATAGAGATAATTAGATTTGATATTATTAACAATTATTTTTCATATCTTATTTGGAATTATTATTATAGTTAAATTTAATTTTGAAAATAATTGTTATTATTATATTTATTTAAATTGTTTTTGATTTTTTTTGGAGTTAAGTTAAGGTCATGCCTCAAGTCTGTTTATTCAAATATATTGTTACAGTCTGTACAATTTTTAACATTATATATTATCTATTACTATATGACTATTTTGAAAAATGAGACTCAGACTAATTTATTTATAACCTAAATTTACCAAAGCTAATATTGTATTCTATTTACACATAACCTAAATTTTTGTTTTACATCTATCTATATTAGATAACCTACATATTTCCTCATGTCTCACAACCTATTTTTAAACAACTTTCAAATTGGTTTGTTAGGTTATTTGCTCCTTATAAGCTACTATTTTTAGTTTGCCAAAACAATGCCTTATAGTTTTTATTTCAAGCCAAAATTCTGCTGCTGTTGCTAACTTTCTAATTCAGATACTAGTAGCATATATCTCAAGTCAGGTCTCTGTTGCTGCTATTGGTTTGCACTTTTCTGGTCTTAGCATTATTTATAAATGGATTATGCAACTAACTTGTCTCTTTAGTACTCTCTTTTATAATAATAGTCTGAACCTGTTTTTTAAGTTATCTTTTCTAGCTGTCACCCTCATAATATTACTATTCTTCCAATTTAAGGTATTTTAATCTTAATTAGTATAGCATTTATATTGGTACATTCATCTTTATATCATTATAAAATTCTATATAGGTGTGACTAAAGCTCTAGCTTGGTACCTTTAAACATACAGAACAGGTTGCTTTCTCTATACATTTTTGGTTATCTTCTATATCAGAACATTCCACAGTGCCAAAGGTACTTCCAATCTTAAAACAGCTAATCCTTTATTACAGATCTTCCTTGCATGCACCACTTTTCTTACTACTTCAGTTTATATTATCTTATATATTACTCTCTCAATCTAGTCTCTCTTACTAGCTTCCTTTTTAGTATATATTTTTTGGATTTATTTGTGTATTTCTTAGACACACTCTCAAAGAGTTTTTAGTATAACCAGAATTACAAAATTACAACCTCAGACAACTCATCCAAGTTGCTAGTGAGCATGAAGATGTTGGTACTGTTACATGTCTCCAAGTGGACTTACTTGTGCAATTCTTTGTATAACAGAATCTTTTATGCTTCTGCTACACATATACTGCCTACACTCTGCAAGGTTGCTCTTCTTTTAGAAATTCTTATTCAAATTATATACTGCATTTGGTCTTGGTCTACAAAGCTTCATGTTTAATTACTGGCTCTCTTTTTTGAATTACAAAAGCTAAAATCTTTTAGATTTTGTCTTCAGCCAGACTTGAACCATTAATCTAAACTGTAAGAATATAGAAGCTTAACTACTAAGCTATGGGACCTACATCTTATTTAAATAGTTTTTAATATAATACATTTTACAAAATAGTATAAATCTGTTTATTAATAATATATTTATTAGTAAAACAACTAATTAAAATACAAATTTAGAATTATATAATTTTAATGCATTACAATTATCAAAAATTTTTATTTGGTATTTGAACTTATAAAAACTACTATACTCAATAACTTTTCATTTAAAGAAGTTTGCTATTGTATATATTAAAATGTAGTTTATATACTTGAATGAGTTCTTTTTGGTCTTTTTATTGCTGAATCCTATAAAATTTAACATTATCTCTTCAAAATAGTCTACATATTTACAAACTATTTTTAAGATAAACTTATTAACATTATTATCTCTATAATTTAAGATTTGTGAGATCCACATACCCTTAACAAGAAAGACCAGATCACTGTATATTTTTTTTACTTGAAATTCAGTAATGTTACCAAAAAGTTTGTAAATATAGAAATAATCATGAACATGCATGCTTCTTCAATGCAGACCTAATGGTTACCAAAAACTGTTTTTGAGATATTTTTACTAAATCAATATTGGATTATTTAGACAGAAAATAAAAAGAATACAATACACTTAATAAATGTATAATTAAGAAGCCTTTTACCAAAATATACATTATAATTTTGAATTTTTTTGCAATACTCAAAGACTTTCTTGAATTTATCAAATATTTGTAACATCTTTGAAGAAAATAATACTTGTCAAAAAAGAATGCTTTGCCTATATCTTTATAAAATTCATTATATGTTTCTTTTTAATAATTTTGTTTCTTATTGAATTTATGTAAAGTTTTTATCTGTTTGGTTAAACTTGTTATTGATTCAAGATCTTTCATAAGTGAATTGTTTAACAAATCTATAACACTATCAATTGTCAAAAAAAATTCACATATTATGAATAGGATATTCTTTTTATGAATATTTAACTTAAATAAATTTTGAATATCTTCAAAAGCTACAATGTCATCAAATAGATCAATGCCCTTATTATAAAGCTTATTATACAAATCTTGAGACTGAGTTATGATGAGCTACTAATAACACAGTATATTTAATATAGTTACAAGTTTTTATTTTTAGGCTATTAGTGAGTCAAACAATTTAGAAACAAATTAAGTGATTATGATTTATTTAGCAAATGAGTTGCTCATTAGATGTATTCATTTTGTTATTTATTTATTTATTTATTTGTTTATTTATTTATTTTAATTTTTTTATTTATTTATTTTTATAGAATGCACCAGAGGACATGTTTAGTGAAGATTTATATGATGAGATACTGGTTGAATTAACCAAACTTGTTAGTGACATTAGTCCTGATGATATCAAAAAGCTTTGGGTGGTATTATGTATAGACCAACAAAAATTCCATTTTGTCATTTTATTCAGTAATGCAAGTTATTTTGTATCTGTCTAACACTTGTAAATCATGGCATTATTTGTTATCATTTTTTTGCTGTTTTACTAGAAGGTGAGATAGCACAGTTCCATATTGGAATTCTGGCAAAACATTGATTTAGTAATCAGGTAATACAAAAAATGAAGACCTTAATAGTGAATGTACTATTTCAATTCAAAAAGGACAAGATTTTGGCATGTTTGAGCATGAGATTCAGCATAACTTTTTCTTGATTAATTCAATATGTGGCAAATATGTTTTTATGTTTAAAATACAGAATCATATAAAGAGTCATTTTCTTTATAGTAAAAGCTTTGGTTTAATGAAAAAAGCCTTAAATTTGGCAATTAAAATTGGACATATTGGAGAGTTATATGAGTTACATCAGCAGTTTATAGCAAATATGAAGAGACAACTCACAGAACAAAAAGGAAATATTTTGAAATCAGATGAGAAAAATTATTATAGTTTAATCAGCAACCCACCAAAAGCATGAACCAAAGGTTGAAAACATTAAAAGTGTATAGCAGTATTTAATGATAATCTACAGAAAAAAGTATTAAAAGAATCAACTAGCATGCAACATAGTGAGAATTTAGTAGAGACAAGTAGATCAAATGTTAGTAATAAATCAATTGACACGAATAGTGTTGAAAAACAACAAATAGGGATATCAAATGAGGATTCTAAAAAAAGTATATAAAATGTAAGTTTAAATAACTCAAGAGCAAAATCAAATGCATAATCAAAATCAAAATACACAACAAGATAAGTTTATTATATTTGTTAATTTTATTTATGAGCATCATTGCTAAAATATAATGTTAGAGACAGGTCTTGATACAGTAACTAACCATGAAGATACATTAGAATCAATTATACAAAGTACTATATATTGTTATATATTTTTCTGATACACTATTATTAATGTATGAAAACAATTTTAGACAAGAAAAAATGTGTGTATATATATGGTAATTGTGGTAAAGATGGTCATCATAGATCTTGTTGTTCTAATATGAAGTGATACAGTATTTATATTTGTATATATGTATTTCTTTTGTGCACATGTACATATGTACTGCAATTTATTATTAATTATGTTTGTGTCTCAAGTACTCTGCAAGTGCCAGGTAGGATTATTAAAACATAATGCCTAAATAATACTTGTACTATGTTAAATAATTCTGTCTGATGCCTGTATAGTTCAAATAACTACAGTATATTTCTGATTATATGAGTACCTTAAATAATATTGACATGTATAATAGTTATCTAGAAAGCTAGATGTTGATTCACACTTTTCTGAAATCTACTTTCCTGAAAAACTATTTCATGACATCACATAGGTTTAAGGTTAGCATTTTGTTAATTATTGGTATATCAGTACCTGCATGATGTTAGGTAAGTAATATGTCAGAAAAATAGTTTTTGAGAAATTGTAACTATAAATTTTTAGGCCTGTTTATAAAAGCAAAAAAACTATTTTGATCTGAATTAAAGTTATCAAAACTATTGTTGCTAATTTTATTTATATAACTGTTATTATAACTTATTGGATAACTTTAACCCAGATAAAATAAAGTTTGTAGAAAGATAAATAAGTAATGTGTTTCTAATTATGTTAAGTTGCTAAAAGTTAGAGTTAGGATGAGTATTAGAATAGTTTTTTTTTTTTTTTTTTTTTAGATTATAGGTAAATAATAGTAATTATTTTTTTGTTTTGTAAATAATTAAATATTATATATGTAATTATATAGGTGATATTTATACCATAGGTGAAAACCACCTATGGTGATTTTCACTATAGGTGGTTTTCATCTATAGTGATTTTTACCATAGGTGCATTTTAGTAAAAGTCAAAAATTATATATTTTAACTAAATATTATTGATAACAATTTATCCATTATATAAAACCTTAATCTATAGTATTTTTTTTATATACTACTTTAAATTGTATTTATTATTAAACTTTTAAAGATATATCATATTTTTTAATCTGTTCTAAATAAAAATATAATCTTTAATAAGCTTTTCAAATCTTAATTTCAAATACTACTTTATAATTAAATATCTTTTTTAAACTTACTAATAAAATTTATATTATTTTGTTACAATAGCCTAATATTCTACTATATTTTTATTTTTTTAATTTTATTAAAGATTGTTTCTCTATATCTTAATATAACAATATTAAAATACTTTTTTATAAAATAACACTACTCTTTTTTATAATTCTAGCAAATGCTTCTTTTAATAAGTTTTATTGATAAATATAACTATTATGTAATATTCTTTAACAATAATAAAAAAATATCCAATATAACTAACAGATATAAATGTTTAAAAATATATTCTTTAGTTTTATCTTTTTAAACTAATTCTAATACTATTTTGATTTTCGGAATTAAGATTTTGACTTTCAGAATTTTAACATAGACCCGTGGTAGAGATACATCATTATAGCGATAAATTACAAAGCTCTAAAAAATATATACCAAAAAATTAATCCTGGGTTGGATCTAAATTAGATCTAAGTGAACCCAAGTTGGATTCAAGTTGAACCCAGATTGGATCCAAGAGATCCTGGGTTGGGTCCAAAAGAGCACAGGTTGGATTCAAGAGATCCCAAGTTGGATCCGAGAGATCCCAAGTCAGGTTGGAACTAAATGAATTTGAGTTGGATCCAAGTAAACCCAGGTTAGATCCAATCAAACCAAAGTTGGATCCAAGTAAACCTGAACCTAATATCTAGATTAACTAAGATTTAAACCCGGAGCAACGCCCGGGCCTGAGACCTACAGCAGAGACAGTGCCCGATCCAAAGTGAATCCCTCTCGCCTGTGATCAATCACAAATTAAATTATTTATGTTGGATTCAATTGTGATGGATATAATCCCTCACCAGTTTTAATATATGTGTAACATTAACGGTCACTGCTGTTCCTGAGATCTAGTTTAGAACTATAAATCATGTATCAACTCGGGTGATTTAAGGACATATATATTTAACTTTTGGGGTTTAAAACAAGTTCCAATTATTACGTATCGGACATAAATCGGAATTTTCGAATAAGGGTCCAATTTTAAAAATGGATTTTTGGATATTGTTTTTTTTCATTTAAATTTATTAAAAAGTTTTAACATTTGAACGAAATGGTTATAAATACATATTTATATATAAGCGTATTACGGGACGAAAATCACTAACTCTTCCCGATGACCAAACTTTTCTGGTAAAAAACAGAATATTCAATTTAAAATTTTTCAGCCAAATTAATTCATCGGTTGGTCGTAAATTCAACGATCTAAACTACACCACAAGATCATGCAGGGAGTGGATTTAAAATTCATACACTAAAGTATTGAAACAATTTATGTGAATTTATTTTTAATCACAATAGTAAAGAATCATGGTTTTTTTTTTAATTAATCGATTCGCGATTTCTTCACTCTTGAATTTCCACGATATCCATCGGAACGCTGACAATTGCCATTTTTGACAATGCTTCCATGACCTCTTGCAGGTTAATGCGCTTTGAAGTGTATTTATTATAATCTGAATGTTTTTGCACGATACTTGCCAATTTTTTATCCATTTTATCAGTTTCTAAGGATTGCTTATCAGCTTCTAAGAATTGATTTTTAATTATTCTTTCATTGCTTTCATGTGTAAGTTCGTCGATCCAAGTAGTAATTAACTCATTAATATACGTAGCAGTATGTCTTTCTTCTGAATCTGAGTCCATACACTTTTTAGCCAATTCAACGTAACATTCTGGAGTTCCGGGTGCGAATTTCGGTCGCAATCCCATACAAATCTTTATTGCTAAATCATTGTTAAACTCGTAATCATTGAAAACTTCTTCTCCCGTTAAGATTTCCCACATAATTATACCAAAAGAATAGATATCTGCTGCTTGTGTAGATGGTTGACGTGATAAAACTTCTGGTGCAATATAAGGTAAAATTCCAACAATTTCGGTATCGTTTTTAGCAGGCGATGTAAGACCTAAATCGGTGATATATGCATTATCTAAATCGTCTTGTAAGATATTACCACTATGCAAATCTTTATGAATATATCCTTGTGAATGAATAGCTTCAAGATCAGAAGCTATACAACTTAATAAATTTAATTTCTTTTCCCATTTCATCTGTGATATTTCACGAAGATTATTACGTAAAGAACCCTTTTTTGCATATTTCAAAATAAGAATGTAATTTCCTGAATCATCTCTCGATAGCCCATAGCATCTTAAGAACGATGGATTTTTATATCCAATCTCACAAAACAATTTCAACTTTAAAAAAAGAAAATATTAATTATATAATTTAAACATTAAATAAACTCAATAAATTTATTTACCTCATCAAAAAAACTCTGATCATGAATCGTTTTAAATGCGAATGGATAATTAATGGAGCCGACCCCCTTATAATGAGTTCTGCATTTAACACGATAAACGGTTGCAAATCCACCTTTTCCAATCTCTTTAATATTGTTAAATTTATCATATGGGATCCACAATAATTGATACTTCTCATCATTAAATATTTTTTTAACATTATCATCTGTACCAGAATAAGAGAATTTTTCTATTTCTGTTTGAATTTAAGAAAATTAAATTAAAATATTAAATATAAACAGAAATGAAAAGAATCAACATCCAAGATTATTACCTTGAAATTTGCTTCTTTCCCTAATTTTAAATTATAATATTATTTAATTTTTTTTTATAAGAATTGAGAAAAAAAGACTTACATTTTAAACCAATATTCAGATTCCTTTAGGTCTTTTTTTGTTCCGATTCCATTTCGATAACAATAACCAACAAGACTCATTCCTTCGGCATCACCCATTTTAGCTGATTTCAGATACATTTCAAAAGCTTTTTTCAAATTGGTTTCAACTCCGTTTCCAACTTCCAGCATTATACATTGCATTAAAGTTCCCCATCTCTGCAGATTTCTGATAATATTCGAAGGCTTTATTTTCATCCTTTTCAACTCCAATTCCATTGTTATAAAAATAACCAAGTTTAAATATTCCAGTAACTTCACCCATATCTGCAGATTTTTGAATATAATTGAATGCTTTGTTTTCATCCTTTTCTACTCCAATTCCATCTTCATAACAACATCCAACATTATATGTTCCACCAGCGTGTCCCATCTCTGCAGATTTTTGATAATATTCGAATGCCTTATGTTCATCCTTTTCAATTCCAATTCCTTTGTTATAACAACATCCAACGTTATATGTTCCGTCAGCATTTCCCATCTCAGCAGATTTTTGATAGTAAATAAATGCTTTATGTTCATCTTTTTCAACTCCAATTCTATTTTGATAACAATATCCAGCATTACATGTTCCTCTAGCGTCTCCCATCTCTGCAGATTTTTGAAAGTATTCAAAGGCTTTACGCAAGTCCTTTTCAACTCCAAATCCATTTTGATAACAATAACCAACATTATATGTTCCACTAGCGTTACCCATCTCTGCAGATTTTTGATAATATTCGAATGCTTTGTTTTCATCCTTTTTAACTCCAATTCCATTTATATAAAAACAACCAAGTTTATGTATTCCTTTAACCTGACCCATCTCTGCAGATTTTGGAATATAAATGAATGCTTTATGTTTATCCTTTTCAACTCCAATTCCATTTTCATAACACCATCCAACATTATATGTTCCAAGAGCATTCCCCATCTCTGCAGATTTTTGATAATAAATAAATGCCTTATGTTCATCCTTTTCAACTCCAATTCCATAAAGATAACAATATCCAACATTATATGTTCCACCAGCGTGTCCCATCTCTGCTGATTTTTGATAATAAACAAATGCTTATATTCATCCTTTTCTACTCCAATTCCATTTCGATAACATCATCCAACATTATATATTCCATCAGCATTTCCCATCTCTGCAGATTTTTGAAAGTATTCAAAGGCTTTACGCAAGTCCTTTTCAACTCCATTACCGTACCAGTATTGCTCGCCCTTGGAATAAAGTTCTG